CAGTGTGTGCTGTGATCGGTTAGCTGGGCCAGTGTGTGCTGTGATCGGTTAGCTGGGCCAGTGTGTGCTGTGATCGGTTAGCTGGGCCAGTGTGTGCTGTGATCGGTTAGCCGGGACAGTGTGTGCTGTGATCGGTTAGCTGGGCCAGTGTGTGCAGTGATCGGTTAGCTGGGCCAGTGTTGATCGGTTAGCTGGGCCAGTGTGTGCAGTGATCGGTTAGCTGGGCCAGTGTGTGCTGTGATTGGTTAGCTGGGCCAGTGTGTGCTGTGATTGGTTAGCTGGGCATGGGGTTGTAAGGGGTTACCATAGCCGCCTGAATAAAATATCTCCTTTTGAAGCTGACTTTGAGCTTTGCAGATTTTTTTTTATTCTCAAACAGCAACATTACAGACTAACTAAAGTTGAAAAAGTGAAAAAGCATAATAGGACCCCTTTAAAATCCTAAATATATTCACACATAAATCTGATGCATACGAGACGCACGTTACAACCAGGTGTAAACGGCTCAGAGTCATGCTCACAGACCGAGAGCGATTGGGATTTTGTAAGAGTCGTTTAACATCAATCATCCATCAGCAGAAGACAGTGTGCAAGCAAAGGCGAGAGACGCCCGCTCTTCCCGTCAGAGTCATGCAGGAAAGCTGAAGACGAGACGGTTAGAGCCCGGATCACGAGGGCCGCTTTACACTTACTGAGCCGAGGGAACTCAGACTGTGGCAACAGAGCTGCAGTGAAACAGCAGAGGATCTCTGGGCTGCGTGCGGCTGACTGTTCACTGGGCTTAAGTGCTTTAAGTTCGACTGCTTGATGAAATTACTGTTGGCCACTGAGCCAGCGCTAACGTCAGAAAACACGTGATCCTTTTCACAGGCCGTTACGTGCAAGCTGCCTAAAGATTTAGCGAGCCTTGAATGTAAAGGGCTGTGAAAGGAAAACATCAACTGTGAATATGAACGTCAGACTTGCTCAAGACGCTGTAGCGATTTTAATGCAAAAGGATTGTGAAATACCTACCTAGTGGCCCTGATGGATCCAAGAGAAGCCCGAGTTCTTTTCCTTTTATCTGAGCTATATGGAAGATATTTTACAGATTATATGACAGATTTACAATCCTGCACACGTAATTGCAGAATAATTCTGTTAAACAATATATAACATGTCAAACAAATAACAAATGTAATAAAATAAATTATTAATAATAATGAAATATAGATGAAATCATAAAAATAAAATAACATTAATATACATTATGCATAAAACATAAGATCAATTTTAAAATAAAAATTTATTTGAAAAATATACAATTTTATGTTAAAATAAGTAAGAATTATATATTATAACATAAAATAAACATGCATGATAATGAAATATGATCATTACTATATCAGTTATATACACAATATAAAATAACACAAAAAAATGATAAAATATGCAAAATATAATAAAATAAAAAGTATTATAAATATAAAATAATGCATGAAAATCTTACTTAAAGTTACCTTGATGCATTAAAAAACATTTAAATAAAAAAAGAAAAGTTACCTTAACGACCTTGATGTTGATTTGGACTGTATTGTATTTTCTTCTAACCTGCAGATAAAGAAAAAACAAAAGTTCAGTGTGACGAAAACATGCAAAAGGACAAAAAAAAAGGACAGACATTTGATGCATTAGATGCGTTGGTGTCTCTGATGCACAGACAGAGCGTCACACATGCAGAGAGAGAAGCCGCAGAATGATTCGACATCCCTCCCGTTATACGACATTACAATCACGTCTGTTCACACGCGTAGCATTTGATACAAAATCATCCTTTAAAGCCTCAAATGAGATACACGAAGCAGAAAAACTTTATAAGACGACCGGATGGAGAGAGAAAAACCTTGATCATCCGGATCATCGTCCTCTGACAGCAAACACATGTAGGCTACATACATCAAAAATCATCCAGTTATGTAACGTGCGAGATACTGTTCATACGTTTACTGAATTAATGATTAGATTGTGTGCAGTGTTATAAAGTAAGGACAGATAAGGAGAGCAAAATACAATTATCAATGCATGACATACATATTACATATTCACAAGTGCTTGAGCAAAATGCAGTTAATGCACCGAGAGACAGCAAAGACTGACAAATCAAGCTACAAAAACTCAACGCATCCAAACTGAAGTGTTTAGGGATGTTCATTTCGGTTATTTTTCCTAATAATATAAAAATATATTAATATAATAATAAATAGGCCTATACGAGAAATATTTTTACTGAAATAATAAATTAAGAAAATGAAAGAAAAATTGTTCAACAAGTAGTATGCAGAGTTTCGGTTCATTTTTGTGGTGCGCGAAAGGAAACCAAGACGGCAGAAAGCGGGATCCTATTTTTCTTTAGGCTATTTATTTTACAAAAGCACAAAGATTTGTTTTTATCGTGAACGTACACAAATAAAAGCAAACCTTTTACAATTCCGATTATCTTTATGACTAAAAGGAGTAGTTTCTTCCACTGTTTTTTGGAAGTTTTTTGGGTGTTAGTATCAATAGGTTAGTCTTAAGGTTATCTATAAGGCAGTGTGCTCCAAAACAGTGACAAAATTCGCATTTAGAATATATAAGCATTCAAAGCTTTTAGTTCGTCACTTCCTCCAAAACGGCTCAACGATTTTTTTGACGTCACAACGTACTTCATTTTCTCATCAAATCTTCTGACCAATCAAACGCTCTCTAGAAGCCGAAGCGCCCGCCCCCTACACTATAAATAGACGCTAAAGCTGCGACTGAGATTGGTCGCTTGTTCACAGTGTAGTATTTCCTGTACGGTGAATGGCACATAGTGTATAATGTAGGCGATAGGGAACGATTCAGATAGTGTAAATATGCTTTCGATTGGTGCAAATGAGGTCTGGTTTCACGTTGTTTCACGGGAACCGCGGCAGCGTGCACAGTCTGATCCGGACTTTGGCTCCAGTCCAGAGACGCGATTGCACGGAGCGGATCATATGCACAAGTCGGCATATATTAAACACTTTTAAAACTACACAGTCTCAGCATGATTATGATCACTATTTTGTTTTACTAAGAGTTTCATATTTAATCTAGGGGGTAATCTATTAGACTGTGGCTGTCAAATGCGGCTTTACCGAGCTCAACGGCTCTGACTCAGTGCAGATATAAACAAAACGCTATTGGCTAATTTAAAAAGGGGGCGGGGCTGCTCGGTATGTCCCGCCCTGTCTTCCTGTTTCAGTTGAAATTACGTCACCACATAGAATAACGCTGCGTGTTTCAAGGCACTTCAGGGGACCTTTAAGCTTTGCTACCTTGACAATGCAGCCTGTTCATTATCATAATAAAACAGTCAGTCAAACATATGGAAAAAACACACTGCTCAGTTTAAAGATGTAGTAAAATCCGTGCCGTTAAGCGTTATCACCGTACCGCCGTGATGTTATGCAAAACATTTAGTTTTACGTGGATATTGGAACGCGAGTGAAGTAGGCTACATAATAAATAATATTTTGGCATTCAAATACATCGCGAATATTGAAACATTTGATTTTGTGTCGAATGAGAGACCCAGCATTGTTTCAGTTTCGTTTTAGCCTAAATTAATTCGTTTATATAGCTATAGCTTCTAATATTTTTAATTCTTGTTCTTTTCTAAATACTGTTAACTGAAAGGATTTGTTGTGGAGTGAGGGGAACTAAAACAGCCTAGCTATGTTTACAGTGTTTATTATAATGTTTGTAAACATTTTGCGTCGGCATAAAATGCCACTTATACGCGACTTGTGTTTTTTTCCCCCTAAAAAAACATTTGTTTTATACGCGTAGCATATTTAAACCATGCAGCAAACCTTTTTAAATATTTTGATAAATGACTGAAAAAAATAAATAATGAAATAAGAAAATGAAAGAAAAATTGTTCAACAAGTAGTATGCAGAGTTTCGGTTCATTTTTGTGGTGCGCGAAAGGAAACCAAGACGGCAGAAAGCGGGATCCTATTTTTCTTTAGGCTATTTATTTTACAAAAGCACAAAGATTTGTTTTTATCGTGAACGTACACAAATAAAAGCAAACCTTTTACAATTCCGATTATCTTTATGACTAAAAGGAGTAGTTTCTTCCACTGTTTTTTGGAAGTTTTTTGGGTGTTAGTATCAATAGGTTAGTCTTAAGGTTATCTATAAGGCAGTGTGCTCCAAAACAGTGACAAAATTCGCATTTAGAATATATAAGCATTCAAAGCTTTTAGTTCGTCACTTCCTCCAAAACGGCTCAACGATTTTTTTGACGTCACAACGTACTTCATTTTCTCATCAAATCTTCTGACCAATCAAACGCTCTCTAGAAGCCGAAGCGCCCGCCCCCTACACTATAAATAGACGCTAAAGCTGCGACTGAGATTGGTCGCTTGTTCACAGTGTAGTATTTCCTGTACGGTGAATGGCACATAGTGTATAATGTAGGCGATAGGGAACGATTCAGATAGTGTAAATATGCTTTCGATTGGTGCAAATGAGGTCTGGTTTCACGTTGTTTCACGGGAACCGCGGCAGCGTGCACAGTCTGATCCGGACTTTGGCTCCAGTCCAGAGACGCGATTGCACGGAGCGGATCATATGCACAAGTCGGCATATATTAAACACTTTTAAAACTACACAGTCTCAGCATGATTATGATCACTATTTTGTTTTACTAAGAGTTTCATATTTAATCTAGGGGGTAATCTATTAGACTGTGGCTGTCAAATGCGGCTTTACCGAGCTCAACGGCTCTGACTCAGTGCAGATATAAACAAAACGCTATTGGCTAATTTAAAAAGGGGGCGGGGCTGCTCGGTATGTCCCGCCCTGTCTTCCTGTTTCAGTTAAAATGAC